ACGCATGGGCGGTGGCAACATCTGTGCAGCAAGTGACTCTTCAAACACGGACATTAGTCAAAGCGAGAGTAGCTTTTAAAAGTCATGTATGGAGACTGATGATAAAAACTGGTATTTAAAAAAAATGCTTTTAAGAGTGAAGCATTATAATTTTTTAATTGATTCCAAGTAGATTCAGATACAGAGAGTTGTTGTTCATATGCTGTAGCTCAAGAAGCAAATACATGGAACCACCGCACCCGGTCCCGGTTTGGTCACACGACCACTGGAACGGTTCTGTGTGTCATCTGAATAATTTAACTAAACTAACAACCTTGTCAGTTTTTTTTCCCTTTCAACACTTTATTTAAAAAAATTAAACAACTGTTCTTTCAATTTGGTAACTATTATAAATGTTAGGTAGTTTTTTGTTTTTTTTATTATGGCATCATCTGACCCCCGGTCCAGGGGCCTTCTGGGTGGAGTTTGCATGTTCTCTCCGTGCATGCGTGGGTTTTCTCCGGGTACTCCAGTTTCCTCCCACAGACCAAAAACATGCATGTTAGACTGATTGGTAACTCTAAATTGTCCCTAGGTGTGAGTGAGAGTGCATGGTTGTTTGTCTCTATGTGTCCCTGTGATGGACTTGCGACCTGTCCAGGGTGTCCCTCGCCCCTCGCACAGTGATTGCTGGACATGGGCACCAGCGACCCCCGTGACCCAAAATGGAATAAACGGGTAAAGATAATGGATGGATGGATGGATGGTATCATCTGACAACAAATGAACACGTGTGCACCTACCCCTACCAAGCTAGAGAACGATGAAGAAGAAACAGACAAAACAAAAGAAGTGCTACAGCTGAAAATTTGGAAAACCGCCGTCGAACCACAGTTTGAACCCGTTCAATCCAAAAACTGTGGAGATGTTTCTTCACAGCTGACATTTACAGTATTCATGACATTCGTACAGTCGCTCATCTGCCCATTGACAGCTGAATGTCAGCTTTGCTCCAGAGTTAATAGTTTACTGTAGAGTAAACGCTTCAGAGCTGTTACGTTGCGCTGACTCATTCTCTGGCTCGGGTTCATTTACCCCCAGAAGCAGAGAACAAAGAGGGAAAGTCTGCAGCTCACTGATACGACGACCTCGTGCCGGTGTTCCAATCATGGAGGCCTACGTTAATTAGCGGCCTTGCTGCTTTCTCTCGCCGCCACTCACTCCCGTCTCTTGCTCCGTGGTTGCGTTTCAGCTTGGATCCTGCTTTCCTTTAGTTTGCACAAAGTTCAAAAGCAAGTTTTCTTTTCACTGCAAAGCCCCAAGTCTGGTTGTGACACAATCAAACAAGATGTAAGAGAGACAACTGGTAATGCGAACATGCAAGGAAGATAAACTGACAGCCTGGTTTGAAAAAATAAACATAAAATGTGATAATAATTTTAAAAAAAAGTATTGTAAAAACACTGACTCAACAGCTTCTGACTTAAAGTGGTAGCTGGTAAGAAAAAATAAATAAATTCCTAATCATACAACGTCCAAATGCATGAAGTGTTAAATTCCTGAACATAATTGTTGGATTTCTGATGAAAGCCATTAATCTGTGAGTTATTGTAACTTTAATCTACATGTTGGACTTTGCCTCATTGAACCAGGGCATCTGTTTGTGAAATCTTGCTGCATTAGGGACGGCTGGCAGCTCGAGCCTGAACTCCTGGGACTGGACTCCACATCAACCTGTTGAGGTATGTACATTTTACACTCAAACATGAATGCAGGGCATCTGCAGGTTGCAGCAAGTCTAAGACTTTTTCAGACCTTCTTAATGCTACCTTGAATTCATTTTAAGACAAAAAAAAAACAATAAATGCAGGCGGTGGTTGTGGGATCCTGCTGTGTTACAACAAAGTGTAGCACGTGTGTCACTCAATGAACTCATTCAAGGTTAGTTTCCGTCTGTTTATTGAGCATAAAGTGATATCAGTGCTCTCCGGTTCAATAGATGTGTACAAGTGCAGCTATTTGGTTGGAAACGTCCAACAGAAAAAGCAATGATTGAATATATTCAAGGCATGAAGGCTCAGTTGTGTCTTGATGTCCAGTTTTACCGTCAAACACAAAGACGTTGTCCAACTGTCGAAGCATTTACACCAACACGTGATTTAGACATAGAAGAGCTGCTAACAACCGTATACATCAGCAGTGAGTAGAAAGTACTCCCAATCGTGTCACACGTGTTCGAACCACAGACTGGATAAAAGAAAACACAAGTTCAGAATGAAGAAAAAATATCTGTGCATGGCTCAAACTAAAACCTTTGCCTGACAGAAAAGTCCTGTGAGGAAAAAACCAACAACATATGAGATTAAATAGTCCCAGAGATTAAAGCAGAAAAGAAACACTTGACTGAAAATTGTTCATTTGAGGGTTTATTCCTGCATACAGGTCATTTCTCAAAGGTTTTCATGTAAAGACGAGTATACTGTGTACATTACCTTAGTAAAAGTACACAGTATACTGTGTACATGACCATAATAAAAGTAGACAGTATAGTGTGTACATGACCTTAGTAAAAGTACTCATTATAGTGTGTATGTGGCTTAGGCAAAAGTACACAGTATACTGTGTACATAACCTAGTAAAAGTACACCGTATATTGTATACATAACCTTAGTATAAGTACCCAGTAGTTTGTACGTGACATTAGTAAAAGTACACAGTATACTGTGTACATGAACTTAGCAGAAGTACACAGTTTATTGTGTATGGGACCTTAGTAGAAATACCCAGTACACTGTGTAAATGACCTTAGTAAAGTTACACAGTATACTGTGTACATCACATTATAATGTGTACATCACTTTAGTAAGAGCACAGTTTACTGTGTGTGTGACCTTAGTAAAAGTACCCATTTTACTGTGTATGTGACTTTAGTAAAAGTACCCAGCATACTATGTACATGACCTTAGTAAAAGTACAGTGTATATTGTGTAGATGACCATAGTAAAAGTACACAACATATTGCGTATGTGAACGTAGCAAAAATGCAGTTTACTGTGTATATGACCTTAGTAAAAATACCCAGAATACTGTGTTGTATGTGACCTTAGTAAAGTTACACGGTATACTGTGTACATGATCTTAGTCAAAGCACACATTATAGTGTGTACATCGCCTTAGTAAGAGTGCACAGTTTACTGTGTATGTGGCCTTAGTAAAAGTACACAGTATAATGCATACGTGACCTTACTAAAAATACACAGTATACTGCATACATAACCTTAGTAAAAGTACACAGTACTTCATACATGACCTTAACAAAAGTACACAGTATAGTGTGTACATGACCTTAGTAAAAGTACCCAGTATACTGTGTACGTGACCTTAGCAAAAGTGCACAGTATACTACATATGTGACCTTGATAAAAGTACACAGTACTACATACATGACTTTAATAAAAGTACGCAATATATTGCATACATGACCTTAGTAAAAGTACACAGTATAGTGTGTACATGACCTTAGCATGAGTACACAGTATACTTGGTACGTGACCTTAGTAAAATTACTCAGTATACTGTGTATGTGACCTTAGTAAAATACACAGTATATTGTGTACTCTTTGCCATTTGCTGGATTCTAATGTATTTTCACAGGTTGTTAAACATCTATGTTTACGTGTTAAACACTTGATTCAATAACTATTGTAGACAGCATGGCGCAACAAGACCAAGGCCTGACCAACAGCTCTCCATGTATGAATAGAGCATGCTCTGCTTCTCTTCCACCCCCCACCCCCACCCCCACCCCAGTGTAGCGCTATGCTAGATATTCACTCATCAGTTCATCATCAGGGGCATTCATCCTGATCTACTCCATGTTCTTAGTTTTTTCATCTTGTATAGTGGTCTGGATGCTCAATAGTCCTCTGCCTCCCTCCTTTCTATTAGTGTATTGTCTCAGGGTGCTGGACACTTGGAGTGAAACCCTCCATGCATTGTGAAGAGCTTTTGAGTCTTGATGTCAGTGGTTTCTATTTCCTTTAGCCGGGCTATTATACCATCTAGGTATCTGACAACTGGCACTCCATACATGTTGATGATTTGACTTTGTTTTTGTCATTCTGGCTCTTCAGGACCTGACTAACTCTCTGTATGTACTTGGTTGTGACTGACTTCCATGTGGCATCATCATGGTTCCCATGAGACTGTTTGATTCCAAGGTATTTGTAGCTGTCCTTTACATTTGCAATGTTGCCTTCAGGTAGTTCAACCCCTTCACTTGTGATTACCTTCCCTCTCCTGGATACCTTTCAACAACATTTATCTAGTGCAGGTGACATTCCAGTATCCACTGATCTATCCTGGTGAAGTGGACTAATAAGTCAATGTTTCACGTATTATTTTAGCATACAGACTGATGTCATTATGTAGAGGCTGTGACCAATAGTCAAATTTGGAACTTTAGCCACTCTTCGTGATGACATAGTTAACGTAGTTCAAGTCTATAAAAAGCAATATTAGGAACAGAGAATGCCATACTTGATTATATTGAATGCAGTAACTTTCAAACTGGCCTCTAGTGTCTTCTGGTTTCCCATCGAATTCTTGATGAAGCCTCTTAGTGTCCTGTTTTTTTTCCCGTCATTTGATTTGTGTAATTAATTGTCATTATCATTCACCAAGGTGGCATTTAGACATTACGTAATCCCAAGAATTTCTACGTATACTTGAAAGTGCTTTTCAAATTGAGTAATATTGTTAAGCATATTCCCTGTGATGGACTTGCGACCTGTCCAGGGTGTCCCCCACCCCTCGCACAGTGATTGCTGGACATGGGCACCGGCGACCCCCGTGACCCAAAATGGAAGAAGTGGGTAAAAGATAATGAATGGATGGATGGATGTTAAGCATATTGAGTATATAAGCATTGGTATATTCACCATGCCATCACCAGCTGATTCATCTACTACATTTATTCTACTATTTATTTATCATTCCTTTTTGTATTTATCTTTCAGAAGATGTCCAGAACAAGAACGGTGATCCTGACGATCCTGTACATTCTGTTGCTGAGACCCTCTGACTGTAAAGGCAGCAAGATTCTGGTGGTTCCTTTTGACGGAAGCCACTGGCTCAACATGAAGGTTATCCTTGAAGAACTTCACTCCAGGGGCCACCAAATTACAGTTCTACGCTCTGCCAAGAGCTGGTACATCTCTAATAACTCCTCCATTTATACCTCCATTGATGTCCCAATGCTACAGGACGAGACAGACATTAACGAATACAACGAAATGCCACCAGACGTCATGAACTGTCGCAGCTATCCTGAATTTTTACGCATCATTTGTATGCGACGCTTGATCACATCTTTGTTAGTAAATGCCCATGACACTCTGGCCAGATCAGCAGGAGCAATATTAAATGACCGTGTGTTAATAAAAAAGTTACAGGAGTCCAAGTATGAATTAATATTAGCTGACCCAGGTTTGCCTTTAGGAGTAATTCTGGGTAGTTATTTAAAGTTGCCGATGGTTTTGAACGTACGTTGGCTTAATACTGGGGATGCTCATTTTGACATAGCTCCTTCTCCTGTCTCATATGTTCCTCACACAACAAGTGAACTTCACGACAAAATGGATTTCCTAGAGAGGACAAAGAATATGTTTTACTTTCTCCAATGTGTTTATGAGCAATACTTTTTGATTAATCCTGCTTACTCAGATGTGTTTGAGCGTCACTTCCCTCCTGGGACTGACTTGTTGTCTTTGCAGCTTTCAGCTGATATCTGGTTGCTCAGGGCAGATTTTGTCTTTGAGTTTCCTCGGCCCACCATGCCCAACATTGTTTACATTGGAGGGTCCCAGTGCAAAGAGGCCAAACCCCTCACTGCAGAGTTGGAGGCATTCATGCAGAGTTCTGGGGAACACGGAGTGATCGTCATGTCTCTTGGAACACTGGTGTCAACTCTACCACCTAAGATCACTGAAGCTATCGCCGCTGCTTTTGCGCAGCTCCCTCAAAAGGTGATTTGGAGGTTTGACGGTGAAAAGCCTTCCTCTCTGGGTAATAATACCCTTCTGGTGAAGTGGCTGCCCCAGAACGACCTCCTGGGACACCCCAAGACTCGTGTCTTTGTAGCCCATGGAGGGACCAATGGGATGTACGAGGCCATCTATCACAGTGTTCCTGTTCTGGGTATGCCTCTCCTTTTTGATCAGTTTGACAATGTACTAAGACTGAAGGTCCGTGGTGCTGCTCGAGTAGTGGAGGTCCGATCACTGACCAAAGAGAACTTCCTGGAGGCTCTAAAGGACCTCATAGAGAATCCATCTTATCACAGGAACATAAAGCACCTCTCTCAGCTACACCGTGACCGACCAATGTCTCCCTTGGACACAGCGATCTTCTGGATCGAGTATGTCATCAGGCACAAAGGAGCTGCCCACCTGAAGTCTGCAGGTATCAGCCTGCCTTGGTATGCCTACTACAGTCTAGATGTGGCTGCCATTTTGTTGGCCATAACTGGAACCTTCATCTGGGGTTTAGTCCTGGTCTGTAGGTGTCTCTGCTATCGGTTGTTCAGGAAAAAGATAAAGGCAGAATAAATTAATAAATAATCAAACATATTGCTTTTCTGGATAACTGCTGAAATTCTTTTGTGTATTTTTGCCTTTCTACAACCAATATTATGCAAGTAATAAACATATTACTGTCTCAGATTCTAACTCGTTTTCCCTTAATAAAGCTCTCAGCCAAAATGTAAAGTGTGGTGAACGTTATTTTTATACAATCACTTATGACAGAAATGCTTTAGCTAGAGATGTAGAAAAAACATACAGTAACCTGAACATTGGTTAATTTTAGAGCTTTCTTTAATGGCATCGCAATCATTATATGTGAAGGGGACAAGTCCCCCCCCACATTAAAAAAATTGTTAATGTGGACCCCCCCCCCCCATCCACTTTTACTATGAAACATTAGTTTAGTTGGCGCAGTTTCTCTTTCTTCATGAACGAATCCATTCCACTTGATTAACAGGAAAATACTCAAGCCACTAAAACTCCACTCCAGGTTTTCCTGGTTACCTCCAACTCTAAACACACAGAGCAGAAACTGTGCAGGCAGCAGCTGCTGAGTCTCCTGCTTCGGCAGAAAACACGCACAGGTGGAGGAGATGGAGACGCTTCTGTGTTGCTCACTCGCCAGCTTAGCGAGCTTAGTGCGGGCAGTTGTTGACCGGGGGGGGGTTGATCATATATTCATGTTAGGAGGATGCTTGAGAGCAGCGCTACACCTGTAGCATCTTAGCTGTACCTGTGACACTGTGAGACGCTGCAGGTGTAAGAGACGCTGTGTGTTCAGGTGTATTAAAGTTGAAATGTCTTTAAAACCCCACACCTTATTGTCCTCAAGCTTCGTGAGAAACATCATTTAGATGAGGAGTGTTGAACACAAGTCCAAATCAAGGTTCCTGTATTCACTCTTTTGGATATAAGCATATTGTTTCTGATGCTAGGACTGCATGCGTATCTCTTTGAAGGCTGGCAGCAGATTCATTTAAGCAGGTTTTAATTATGTTGCCACAATAAACAATAAAAAAAACACCAACGTTTCCAATGATCATTGTGTAGAAATGGCCTTGAATTAGGCTGTAATCAGCATTTAAGCATATTAAGCTGCTTTTCTGTTGTTCAATCAATCAAACTTTATTTACAAAGCATCTTTCATCCAACAGGGTATAAAACAAAGTGCATTACACCAGATTAAAACACAACAAAACATAAAAAAAATAATTAAAACATACAAGATAATTTAAAACAGCAATAACATACAAAAAATATGAAGTTGACATTACCCTGAATGAACTGAGGAAGCTCTGTTTTGTTATTTTGAACAGCTACAAAACATCCTGACAGCCACTGTTCCATTTAGATCTCGATCATTTATGTTTTCAGTGCTTTCGGGCCTTTTCAACAAACATTCTTCATATCTACCCATTCCATTCCATCAGTTTCATCCTTACCCAGTTTAAACTTTGCTCACGCACCTCATTCTTCATTCCCATCAATTTTTAAAGATCTTTCTTTGTCCATACCCCTTACAAGACACAGTGAAATTTATTGTAAAATGTAATCAAAATTAAACATTCGTTACTGTGTTTGCCAGATACACAAGTGTCAGAAACTCCTGAAACCTGCTGGCAGTGCCAGCTTTGAGACCATTGGTGACGTCGGCTCGGGAGGACACGCCATCTAGCTGGAGAGTCTTTGTGACGTTGGCTCAGAGACACACTCTGGAGACGCCGACTCACTGGAGACAGTTGGTGACGTCGGCTTAGGACACTCTGGAGACGCCAACTCACCAGAGACAGTTGGTGACGTTATTTTGGGAGGACACTCTGGATACGCCGACTCGGCGTAAACCATTGGTAACGCTGGAAAGCATCTAAATCTCAGACAAGCAGAACTTCAAGTACCCTAACCCCAACCCCACAGGTAGTCTATAAAAAGATGTGCACTGGTGTCTGAAGAGGTCTATAATATCAAAACACTGTAAACTATTAAAAAAAAATCTCTACTAGAATTTGCCCACCCAGGTGGTACCGATATACGGTATTCATTCAACCTTTATTCAGACAGGTGAATCCCACTGAGCCTCGAGGACTCATTTACAAGAGAGACCTGATTATGGCCACGGAATAAAAAGACTAATTATAAATGTTAAAATTCTACCTGATGCCCTGACAGCAGTCACTGTGCGAGAGGCAGAGGACACCCTGGACAGGTCTCCAGTCCATCCCAGGGCCAGAGACAAACAATCATTCACTCTCTCACTCACACCTATAGGGACAATTTAGAGTTACCAATCAGTCCAACATGCATGTTTTTGGTTTGCGGGAGGAAACCGGAGTACCTGGAGAAAACCCACGCATGCACGGAGAGAACATGCAAACTCTGTCCAGAAAGGCCACTGTCCTGGATTTGTTTTACATTTTTATTTAAGATATTTGTAAAGCACTTTGATCAACTTCTGCTGTTTTATTGAAATAAAT